GGATTAAGTTCTCAAGTCAAGACCCCACTGTAATACACTTTTTAAAAGAGACACAGGTACATACATACTAGCTTTTTAAAAAAAGAAACCAACTGTGCTTTCTAGTTTGATAGCTGTGCCTAGTTTTGTTGCAAAGTTCTGTGAACAGGTGCCACAGTTGTCACCTTTAGCTGCAAGTCAGTGTCCACATTCGTTCATTCCACTGTATTTGAGAAGGGCACAAGGGAAGCTTTGGGGATCACATCAAGCACTGATCGGTATCAGTTCTCACAACTCATATCGTGTTATCACAAACAGGATATAAGCACAATAGGAGCCTTCAAGGTCCAACCAGAGACAGCACGGCGTAGTTGTGGTATAGGGTTTGACTCAAAACTTGCAAGGTCCAGAGTAAAGTCTCCATTGAACCCTGAACCTCACAGAGTAACTTTGGATCAATTGCTGTTTCTCAGCCTGTTCTACCTCAGGGTTGTTCTGAAGACAAAGTGGTGAGGAAGCAAGCCATGTAAGCGGTATTGAACTTATTGGAGAAAATGAGGTATGTAAATCATATCTGCCAACAACAATCTAAAGTAACTAATACTATAGAGTCATCACGACATAGCTGTAGATAGCTTTGGAGAAGCAAGCGATAGAATTCTCAGCTTGTAGTGAATTCATGCCCTGATCAAAATGACTTGCATCACCAGCAAAAAATATAGCCAGTGAAGTGCCATGCGCAGATATTCTTGACTGTTGCACACTGTTTTGACAGAGAATGACCACCAAAATGGATCACCACTGGTTAAAGATCAGAGTTTGAGTTCCTCCACTCTAGACACTTTGAAAAGAAGGGTCAATTGGGTAGAATATGTGCCGATGTTATTGGGCTGTTTGACAGTTAAACTTGTAAGAAAACCATCTGCTTTCTTACAGCTTCCGGAAGTAGAATCTACTCAATTTATTCTAACTGGGCTGTCTGAAAGTCATTACTGTGACTGCCCTAGACGTATGTAGCACATCGTATCAAACAAATACAATTCCTTTTCTTTCACAATGGCTGGTGCCTGTGGTTAGAGGTTAGAGAACATCCTTGTTAGTTCCAGAGAACAGTCCTTGATCGTATCACAAGATCTCTGAACTGTTTTTAAGTCAGAAATCGGAAGGGCTCCAGTCCCAGTACCTTGAGGGTTCCAGAGATGAGCATAAAACTACCAAGGTTTAGAGTCAACATGGAGTGCTGCTGAATATTTATAGGTGACTAACATGGCTACCCCTTCTGCAAGTACAATGCTCAATAATTGGAGCACTGGAGAATGACAATTAAGGGTAGATAGAGCCATTAGTCAGGATTGCAAATCTACTGAGGTCATGGCTATCCTGGAGCCTTCTGACACACTAGCTCAGTGCTTCAGCCTACAGTTTGGGCTATGGAAGCAAGAGCTGTGTCAGTGGAGGGATGTGACATACGATGTGGGATTTGCATGTCCATATACCTCCTTCTTTATGGTGGCCACACACAGCATGGCTCTTTGCCTTTATTTTGCATGGTTGGCTGACTGTTGGCAGAAAAGGAATGCTGCGATTGTATGGACTGGAGAGACCTCAGCTCCAACTCACTACAGACATGGGCCAATGAAAAAACTTTTGGCATTTCAATCTTTGGCAAGGAAGCCATTCATGATAACCACGTCAACCTGGCACTTTGTGTGGCAGGTGTGAGTTCAACATGGGGTGGCTTCTCATGGTTGTTTGTTGTCAGAGAAAAATAATTTCTTGTCACAAGTATGAGCGATATCAACTGAAACAAATACGTTTAAACAGGGCACAGCTGAATCTCCTGTACTGCTCAGTCTGATTTTCAAAACTAGTAGTTTAAGTCTGTGGCATATCTGCTGCCACAATTGTAGTCCAGTGCATACAAACATGTTTATATTGACTTTCAAAATTGTTGTTTTTATTTTATTTTATAACTTAGGGATCATGCCATAAAAAAACACCCAGTCAATGTATTTGTATTTCATAATGATCTGTCACTGCGACAACATGGTCAATTCTCTTCTCCAACTTTTGTTTGACTTTCAGGACTCTTCCATTGAATAGAACCAGCTAACATTTCAGCCCTGAGCATCAGGAATGAGCTTCTACCAGCTAGCAGCTGAGAACCAAAAACTATCAGTCGCAGCAGAGAGCAAGAGCTGAGAGGTCAAGCTAAGAGATGGAATCAAAAACAAGGAAAGTGGACAAGAAAAGTAAAGAGTGGTGTTGCCCCAGCCAAGCCCAAGCCTAAACAGGAAGTTCAAGAGTCTTTCCTGTTGAAGACAGCCAATCGCGTGTTTGCCTGAATGGGTCCACTCTGGTTGCTGAAGATTTTTTTCTGTCAAAGAGATGCTCATTATTGTGGATAGTTGCACATGACCCTCTTACTTTCTGTCTTGAACTCTTAAGGCAGCTGACACATGATTTATTTGTTTGTTTATGTGTTTGATTTATATACCGCCCATGTGGCAGTCAAGGCCACATTATCAGCAGTATGTCTGGTTCCAAAGGTTGTAAGGATATTAAAGAATAATTTCAAAAATGAAATCTTAGGACTATCATAGGACTATCGTTATCATAGAAAAAGATACTGTTATGTGGTGTCAAACTGCTTCTGAGTTAAGGGGACCCTATGGATTAGTGAGCTTGTGAAATTCTTGTTCTCAACAGTCCTACTCGACCCTCGCAAAATCAAACCTGGGGCCTCCTTTATTGAGTATTCAAATGTCCCAATGACAGTAAGCTTTCAAATGACCCATGACACAATGGACATGATGGTGGCATCTCTTGCTTGTTGTGAGTCACAAGCATGAAGATTACAGTCTTTAGGCATGGAGGCTGCTTATGCAGTAACCATAAGCAGATCTATTATTCTCCTTTTTTAAAAAAAGTGCTCGCAAGTATTAATTTCTCTAGGAAAGTTCCACAATCTAATTAGACATTTTTTGAAGCTGTTTCTTTTGTCTTGCATTTTGATCCTATCAACATTTTCCTGGAACAAAGACACATGGGTACCCAGTGCAGTGCCTTGTATGTCCATGAAGAAGAAATTCCCACTTCTTATGCATGGATTTATCTCTCTGGGATTCACGCTCTGACATGCAGAGAGTTGCAGCCTTAAGCAGGTGTCTGTCACTTCCACTGAATAACTTCCACTTCTTGGATTCAGTCACAACTTTTTTGTACTATCTTTCTGGGCATAAATCTATATTAAGTAGTGCCCCGACCAACCATTTTTAAAAGTGAAAGTGCAGTCACGACAATTGACTAGCAAACTTCCACACTACTAGAAGCATACTAAAAATAGTCTGACAGCAATACAGTGGTGTGTGCCCAGCACTCTTGCTGCTTGATGAGAAGAAGCAGTGCTGCTGCGCCTACATCCAA